TGGATGGAAGACCAGCTGCAAAAGCATGTACCCTTAAGCCTTCTAACCATACAGGCTAAGGCAAAAGGCCTTTTCGAAAGCCTGAAAGAGCAGGCAGGAGATGAGTGTGACCAAAACCTCACAGCAAGTCGTGGGTGGTTCCAAAGGTTTAAGAAACGTTACAATTTGCACAGTGTAAAGGTGAGTGGAGAGGCAGCAAGTGCTGATGTGGGTGCTGCTGAAGCTTTTAAGGAGGAGCTAGATCATGTCATCGTGGAGGGAAATTATTTGCCTGAGCAAATATTTAATATGAATGAAACTGGCTTATTCTGGAAGCGCATGCCAGAACGGACATACATCCACAAAGAGGCGAAAACCATGCCGGGATTCAAGGCATTCAAGGACCGAATCACACTTCTGTTGGGGGTGAATGTAGCTGGATTCAAGGTAAAGCCCTTCATGATATATCATTCAGAGAACCCAAGGGCTTTTAAAAATGTCAGCAAGCATACACTGCCAGTGTTTTATCGCAGTAATGAGAAAGCATGGATGACCCTAGCATTGTTTGAGGATTGGTTCCAGAGTTGTTTCATTCCACGAGCCAAGGAGTATTGTCTGCAACAAGGGGTTGCCTTCAAGATTTTATTAATTTTAGATAATGCTCCGGGACACCCACTACACCTGGACGACCTGCACCCTGATGTTAAGGTAGTCTACCTTCCACCTAATACTACCTCTCATCCAACCCATGGATCAAGGTGCTATTTGCTGCTTTTAAAGCGTATTATTTACGTACGACCTTCGTTTAGGCTATTGCTGCTACTGAAGGTGAGAAAACGCTCAGAGAGTTTTGGAAGGACTTCAACATTTTGCAATGTACAAATAACATAGCTGCAGCATGGGATGAGGTTACAGGTCAGTGCATGAATGGAATTTGGAAGAAGGTCCTGAAAAGATATGTGAACAGTTTCGAAGAATTTAATGAAAATGAAGCCATTTCTGAGATTAGTAACAAGATGGTGCAGATGGGTAAACATCTGGAGTTAGAAATTGATAATGAAGATGTTGAGCAGTTGGTGGAAAGTGTAGCAGAAGAGCTAAGTAACGAGGATCTTATTGAACTGGAGGCACAATTTGCAGAGGAAGAAGAGAGACAAAAGGAAGAACCTGCACCCCCCCCAAAAAGTTTTCAGTGAAACAAATGGCAGAGGCATTTGCTACTATTAATAAGGGGATTCAAATATTTGAAGAAATGGATAAAAATGTTGAGCGTTTTGCAAATATTGACAGACTAATCCACGATGCACTTGCTTGCTACAGGGAGATTTACAATGAAAAGAAAAGGCAAACTGTGCAGTCTAAATTGGACATATTTTTTAAGAAGTCCCCCACTGCTGTCTCACGCCCCACCACTGCTGCCTCTTCACTCCCTAAAGATGAGCCAATACCTTCAACAAGCAAGTATGTTAGCCCGTCTGAAGAAATCGAACTTGATGACCTACCCAGCCTTGTCTCCTCCTATGCTTCATCCAATTAATGTAATCTCCATGCTTAATTAAAAAATTATTGCAGCCCCATGTGCATTCACCTGACTACATTAAAGGTAAGTGCACAGTAACACTTTATTCATTATTGATTACTTTTACTGTACTGTATTTCATTTTAGAATTTCTATGTATTATTTTCGCCTTTTCGACTTACGACCTGGTCGTCGGGACGGAACCCCGTCGTAAGTCGAGGAGAGACTGTATTTTATTTACCTGATGACTTATTTTTTACTTTCATATACTGTACCCCTGTATTTTGTCATTCTATTCTTTCTCTGTCTTAAATTAAGTGATTTTAGATATAGTGTATATAAGGACTTAGGATGTGATATAGTCGGATTTTAAATACAGTCATGCGCCTGTTAACGTCTGACCGAACAACGTCCGATCGCATATACGTCCGTGGCCCCCCCCCCCCCAAAAAAATAAGAAAAAGAAAATCTGTGACGCCTGCTGGACCACCACTCCACGACCCCCTGACGGAGACACGATGATCCTCCCCATACTGGTCAGATATTGTGTGTTAAAGGAGTATGCTTCCTTCCTTAGGCTTTTTTTAAGTTTTTGCCTCTAGGTGTAATGTTAACCTACATCTATTGAGGATAAAATCTTTCACCTACAAATTGACAATAACACATTTGCTGTAATCAGACATATCTAGTTGCCTCAACAATTGCAACCCCAGTTGCAATTGGGGTTGCAATTTCAAATTCTGTGGCATTACTAAGTATAGTGAAGTCTCTGGTGCACTCTAAGATTAAGAGAGAAAACGGAGGACTCAGGCGTCCTGATGTGAGAGAAAACGGACTCGTATGATGGGGGACCAAATAAAAAAAGCATAGCTACATGTTTTGTGGACTACAGTATTAAGCGTACCCTTTTCATCACTTTGTAATAAACCTAGCCATGCCTATGTGTGTTTATGATATTTACCATAACATTATATATATATATATTTAGTGGGTCTAAATGGTCGTAAAATGGGAAACTTGGGGTTGGGTCTTGGGTGCCTGAACCAATTAGAATAAATCCCATAGGTTCTGTACTTTCGTTATCAGCGGGGTCCCAATTAGGCGCGATAACCAAGGGATGACTGTACTGTACTGTATATACTTGTGACACTGGCCAGTTGCTTCTGGTGTTATGGTACAGGGGTACCAAGTGACAGCACTAGGATCCCGCTTCCTCTATCAAGGAATAAACAATTGAAATTGAATTGCAAATATAGCTTGTTTATACAGGTATTCAAATAAATTACTATCTTACATGGAAGTTATATTCACCCAGGTCGTTTGGGTGGCAAATTATGAGAAGAGCTTGGTCACTCTTAAGTAATGATAAATAAACACGCAGGCCTTCAGCGCCAACTGTCAAATCTTATCTCAAATAAATAAAGACACTGTCACCTCACCTCCCCCCCCTTTTCTCACACTCGGCTGGCTACCTCCCTCGTGTTCCCAGACAAAAGATTGGTGATTTCTTTATGTTTATTTTATATAATATCTCGGACTAAAGTTAGGATAATATAATTTACATTGCTGAAATCCTTGCAAGACAGAGATTAATTTAAATATAAGCGTCATATATTTTGCTCAAGATATAAAAAATGTAGTACATTAGTGTACAATACTGTAGTACATTTTATAAAAAGTTTTTCAACTGTATTTTTTGGGTAGATTTACATAAATTTCTTCATTTATTTTCATCCATTTACATGCACACACCATACTAAAAGAAACGTAAAAGAAATAAATGACCTTAGTGCAAAGCTGGAGTGCACATGTACTAATTTGATTACGGTACTAAAATTGTTATGTCTAGTGCGAATTACAACATGTTTATATTCAAATAAATCAGTATCTTACAAGAATCCCAGCAATGTTAATTATATTCTCCTAGGTCATATCACTGGCATTTTAAAATGAGAGAAGCTTAGTAGGACTGTTAAATAAACACACAGAGACCTTCGCCTCAAACTTATCACCTCAACCCCCCCACCACGCCCCCCCCCAGCCCCTCGCTGGGTGGTGGAGCCGTCAGTCCCCCCCCCCCCTCCAGCCAGGCTTTCAGGCTTACAGTTTTTATCTTATATAATATCTCAGACTAAAGTTAGGAGATTATAATTTGCATTGCTGGAATCCTTGCAAGGCAGCCAATAATATGAATATAAACGTCATATATTTTGCTCAAGAGATAAAAATTGTTGTACATTAGTGTACAGTACTGTAGTACATTTTATAAAAAAGTTTTCAACTGTATTTTTGGGTAGATTTACATAGATTTCTTCATTTATTTTCATCCATTTACATGCACACACCATACTAAAAGAAACGTAATAGAAATAAATGACCTTAGTGCAAAGCTGGAGTGCACATGTACTAATTTGATTACGGTACTAAAATTGTTTTGTCTAGTGCAAATTATAGCATGTTTATATTCAAATTAATCAGTATGTTACAAGAATCCCAGCAATGTTAATTATATTCACCCAGGTCATTTCACTGGCTTTTTATAAGAGAGAAGCTTAGTCACTTAAGAACTGATAAATATACACGCGTTAGACCTGGGCCTGTGCCAACTGTCAAACGTACTACCTCCCCTCCCCCCACGCCCCCTCTCTCTCCCCCATCTGCTGGCGTTGCTGGAATCCTTGTAAAACAGTGAATAATTTTAATATAAACGTCATGTATTTTGCACAAGAGATAAAAATTAATCACCTGTATCACATTACAGTAGTGATTTAAGAGTAAAAGTGTATATGTACATATATAGTATTCCACATACACGTAAGTATAAATACAAAGTTTATATGATGATCGGACAACGTCTATTTCGGTTAACATCACGTTTCCAAGAACGTATCTAGGACGTTAGCCGGTGCATTGTATTGTTCTGTAAGTACTGGTTATTACAAAGCATGTGTTCCGACTTATGTACAAATCTGACTTAAGAATGTCCTCAGAAAAAGAAACCCATTAATGGCAAATGTTATGTAAACAAACACCAAGCTACCACGTCCCACGAAATGTGCCAACCACTGTAACAAGTGGAAATATGGGCAACTATACATACATTATTTTGGGTAAGGTTAGGTTGAGTTTGGTTGATTCATTTGTCTTTTTTCGAAGGAAACCATGGTAGTGCAGCCTCTATGACAGAAAAGGTGCTTGTCACTGTCCTAAACTGTTAGAGTATAAAAAAATTACTGTACAGTAGTTGCTTTATTGTGTTTTATTCTTCCCACTGCAGATATGAATCTTAGTAATAATAACTTTTCATCTCTATAGTCTTTTGAAATTTACAGGATAAAGTGGTGCTGATAATTATGATATTTACTTCAATAGTTTTTTATTGAAATTTTGGTCCCAGGAATGTTTACAGTACAGTATTTTGATTTTGGGTACAGTATTGCATAATGTACTATATTACACTGCAGTATTAGAATTGACCCTGATATAGATTAAATTCTTTCAGGTAATGGGATAACAAGAAATATTTGGAAGCCCACTGCCACTTTAGTGTGGATTTATGTGTTTCATCTGGTTGACTTAGACTCTGTCTACTTGGCCTCAGTTGTGCATAGACTCGTTACGTTCTACAATTATGTCCCCTCCGAGTAATGAACCACAAGCAAAGAAACAAAAAGTTGATGATGGTGAAGACATCGACATCCATTCCCGTCTGAAGATTGAGCGAAAAGGTTAGAATTTTTAGCTTTATCACCTGCTGATCATGCTGGACTATAAAACAAAAAATTTAGTCAATTTATACCTGTAGACCAGTGGTTCTCAACCTGGGGACCATGGCCCAAAGGAGCCACGGCAAGAATTTAGGGGAGCCACGGCGAGCTGTTATAAATTGTACGTTTCCAAATAATGTTGGAAATCTGAATTAAACAAAACTTGTATTACTTATTTTGACTTGGCAGAAGAGAATTTTTCATTCTTTTTTGTCATTTTGTTTAATCATATCGACAATCAGTGTTCATATTTACATACTCTGGTGCCAATTTATTATTATTTTTTACGGATTATTTAAGATTTCACAGGTCCAGTCCTGTGTATGTCTGGCCTGACGACTAGATCGAGCTGCTGAACTGACTTGTTCAATGCGTGTCGTGTGTCATCCTTTGCAAGTGGTGATAGGACGAATAATCTCAGTCTGGCCTGGGATATCATCACGAAAACAGTGGAGGCCACGAGGATGTTGAAAATTCCTCAAGGGGGGAATGGAGTGAAAAAGGTTGAGAACCACTGCTGTAGACTATCAGAAAGTATTTCTCATAATTTATTTTTTCTTGTGCCAAAGGTCAAGATTGGCTAATAGCCTATATTACCCTTCTTATCCTTTTCCATTACCTTTGAGCTATTCATCACTTTAGCACACCCTGATCAACTCTTAATTTGATTCTCCTTTCACTTCCTTGTTCTTTTTTAGTGTTTTATATTTTTGGCATCCTATTCACCACAGATCCTGCTCCTCGGAACATTGTCCTTCATTTTTAACTTACTTCAACCTTTTGCACCCAGAGTAAGTGCTTCATGCCTGTAAATTGATGTAGACCTATCGCATTTATTCTTTTTGCCACTTCTCATCTTCGTAGATGATCAGGGTGGTTAGTTTGATGTGTGCACTGTTGGCTGATACTAGGCTTGTATAGGCTCTGATGAACATATTTAGTTCATGTATGGTGTAAACTCTTAGAGATTACACCATGCTGGTCTAACCTGCATTTAAAGAGATCAATGTTGCTGCTGTTATGATAACTGAGGAGCTGCAGACCATAACCTGCTAAGAACCATATGTTGCTGAAACATGTTATATATTACATTGTATTCCCCAACCTCTCCTCTGTCCTCTGGGTATGACAGAGACCCAATTGGGGAGCTCTACATGTGGGTTACAGTCCTCTGAAATGACTTCTGTATGTCACTTATTCCTACCTGAGCATCTTCCTCCATTTTCTATTTTGGCACTTAGCAGATTATTGTCTGGAGCTCTCATATGCTGTAGATTATTCCTTTAGTTTACAACTCTCATTCGAAAGAAATTAGTTATGACAGTTTTTTGTGGTGATAGCTTCCTTAGCTTGAGGCTTGGACATCTACTGGAACAGTCATCAGCAATGAACTTCTGCATTTGTACATTTTCTATTGAGGTACAGCACTCATACACTTCTTTCAAATGTACTATGGCTCTTTGGTATTATAAACTGAGCAAATAAATAAAATGCAGTTTTTTTTACTGTATTAACTTAAATTTAAATAAAATACCTTTTCATAGCCATTTTTATTAACCCAAAAATATCCTAGAACCTTTCCACCCACCCCAAACACCTTACCCTTTGACAAAAAATCACTTCTGTAAATGTATAATACAAAACAACAAAAAATACATTCTTGAAATGAAAACATTGTTAGCTCCAACTTCTCAGCTGGATCAAAAACCATTACAGTACTGCACCTGTATATTAAATCCTCACTAATTCAATATATTTTGTCTATACAGTTGTCCTCAAAGAATTTCATATTCTTGCAGCCAAGACTTCTAAAATATATACAGTACCTGTACTGTATATATTTTCTGTAACTTACAAATTGATAAGATTAACATGAATATATATATATATATATATATATATATATATATATATATATATATATATATATATATATATATATATATATATATATATATATATATATATATATATATATATATATATATATATATATATATATATATATATATATACAGTTGTACCCCACTTAACGCAGTCAATTGAACCCAGAGGGTCCCGCGTTAAGTGAAATCCGCGTTAAGTGAACAACAGAACATATGGGATTAATTCCAATAGAAACCGGCCCGACCCCCCAAACTCCACTTTTTGAAGGCACATACCTATGTTGTAGTAAAAATAACATCTTAATTTTATGATGGTACATGCACACAATTAATACTTAAGAGAAATAGAGAAATACAGTCGCCAAGTTAATGTCCATTCAAATAATGGACTCAACTCCCTCCCTCTCACACTACACAGCCGGCTAACAGATGGTCGGTCGGTCCCTCCCTCCCCCCACCCACCCCCCACCAACCGTCCCAAGGAGATGTGTGGGATAACCTCAAACTAAAGTTAGGAAAATATAATTGACATTGCTGGATTCCTTGTAAGACCAGGAATATTTTGAATATAAATGTCATATATTTTGGACAAAAGATAACAGTTACCTAGAGAAAAAATTTTATCTAAAAATTGTAAGTTTAAACCAAATATATGATGTTTATATTCAAAATGATCACCAAATTATAAGAATTCCAGCAATGTAAATTATATTCTGACCGGGTAATTTGTATGAATTTTATGAGCTAAAACAAATATCTTCAGTTAATAAAAAAAAAATAATCTTCACACACTATCTGTCAAAGTACCCCACCTTGCCTTCCCCCCCTCTTCCAACCGCGCGGTCAGTCCCAACCCTCCCCCCCACCCCTCACCAATCCTCCCTTCCAGAGTTTTTAACATTTAGTATTAAATAATACCTCAGATTAAAGTTAGGATAATATAATTGACATTGCTGGATTCCTTGTAAGACCAGGAATATTTTGAATATAAATGTCATATATTTTGGACAAAAGATACCATAGTTACCTAGAGAAAAATTTTTATCTAAAAATTGTAAGTTTAAAGCAAAATATATGATGTTTATATTCAAAATGATCACCAAATTATAAGAATTCCAGCAATGTAAATTTTATTCTGACCGGGTAATTTGTATGAATTTTATGAGCTAAAACAAATATCTTCAGTTAATAAAAAATAATAATTCTTCACAAGCAATACTGGCTTCTA